GGAATAGAAAAATTTCTATTCCTTCAGTTCTCTGAATTTGTCGTAATTTCAATTTGAAAATATTGAGTGATTTTCATTTAAGGCGCATAAAACAGTAACCAAATTCCTGCAATTTTGATGCAGTAAAATTATTTTAAGTACTACAATTGGAAGACAAAGAATTTTTTAATGATAACCATGGTATCCAGATTTCTGTTATTGTTGTTCTATGTAGCTGATATTGGTAAAAACTATTACAAAAATATTGGAAAAATTGGGCATTTTTATATTCGGAAATATCGACCCTGAATTACTGAAACTTTATTAAATGTATTTTTAATACGAAATTTGATCTTGGTTAAAAGTGTAATCAAAATTTTCAACCGTACTGTATTTTCGAAAAATATTTTTTGTGCATCATAAAAGAACTTATAATAATATAGTTGAACTCATGTATCAAGCAAAAAAAGGATTCTTCTTTAAAAGAAAATTTTTTTATAAGGACTTCTATAGAAAAAAGTTCCTCCGTATGACTCCCATTTTAAAATTATTTCCTTTCTTAAACTTTTTTTTTCAGATTTCCTAAGTTTCTTTTAGTGCAATATACGAACAGAAGGAATAAAAAAAACTAAAAATTCACTTAGTTGCACGTGCATTTCATATTTTTGACTGTTTTTTTTTCTTGTTTTTTTAACGCTACTCACATTTTATCATTCACGTATGTACCTACTTACTAACAATATTTTGTAATTCGAAAATGTCTTCACTCTTTTATTCAATTTTTATTTATTTTTTTCACAACATTTTTGAAAAAAAAACCTTAAAAACAGGATAATTTTTCATTTTTTTTAGTTCATTTTTTATTAAATAAATTCTTAAAAAGAAAATTTAAAAATTATTTCAAACCTATTGGAATCGACAGGAATTAATAAAATTACAATTGGTTTGTTTTTTTTTTACTACGATTTTAGGAAGATAACCCTGACTTATTTAAATTTGTATACAGAATGAGTCACTCTGTTTATTTAGTAGGATTCGAGTATGATTCGAGAATTCATCCCAAAACTCGTAACGAATTTAGTTTTACTTGACTTTTTTTAGAAAATTATTAAATTAAATTTAATTGAAAAAATTTTGCCATAAGGTTTTAAAGGGCTCAACTATGTTTTTTTAAATTTATTGCATTTGAAAAAATATTTGATTTGCAAATTTTAAAATTTTTCAATATGTGTTTGAAAGTAGCTTAGAAACTAAGGCATGTGATTGTATCAGAATTGTGACAAATTATGCACTCAACTATGGAGAAATAGTAAAATGTAAATTAAAGGTTTATACTAAGTAGTTTAGATTCTTTTTTTCTCTTAGCTCAGAAAATGACAGAAAAAATATCTGAATTTACAAAATATCAATCGCAATTTTCTAAAATTTTTATGAAATAATATTAGCTTAAATTTTTAAATCACTTCTCAAAACTTTTTTGGGACCTAGTGCTTAACTATATAAAAATTCGGCGAAATTTCGAGTTCCTAAGTCTTTAAAACGGTAAACGGCTTGCTTTTGGACAAAATTGCTTTTGCTATACTTAGACTGATTTATAATTCAATTTTCAAGAATGATGTTCGTATCAATTACATATTGTTAGGGTGGTAGATGCTTCCTCTTTACTCCATTCTCTATATGGTATTTTAGATGGATGTGTAAAAAAACATCATATGCTAATTATGTGCAGAAATTTGAACAATCTCTTCAATGAAAACAAAGAAGATTCTCAGTTCAAATAATTAGATTTCCTCCATTGTTCGTTTCAGAATATTAAATTCAAATTAAATTTTATCACTTCAACCAAAAGAATACACAAAACATGAAGTCTTAAAACAGTAACCAAATCGGAATTTTCCACCTAAATTGGCACGAATTCTCAAAACTAATATAAATTACATCTGTATAATCAGCTATCAAATAAAATTTGTAAACTAATTAATAAACAAAAGTATAACTCAATCCCTACATTTTACTTTAATAATTATGATAAAAAACTTATACTGGCTATGTTCGAGTGAATCCATACGAAATATCATACAAATACACATAAAAATATTCATTTTTAGTTAATTATCCTTGAGTAATTTCTAAGTCCCCAAATAATCAAAATTTTGTACATAATTAAAAGTTTATAATGTTGTACGTACTTTGTTTTTATTGGTAAAAATAATAACAATATCGCGAAACAATGATCGCAACTTATGTATGTAGATATATGAAAAGTATATTAAATATTTTCAGTTCTTGAAAAACTTCATTTCAACATGCTATTATAAAGATGAACTTGCATAATTTGTGCTGCTCATCAAGTCAAGATGTAAATTATGAGCAGAAAAAAAAAAACCAACTTGTAGAAAGAGGCAAAATTGTTTTTTTTTTCTTATTTTTTGATGAAAATATGACAAATGCCTTTAGGATTTCGTGTTTTCAATAAAACTATGTCATATTCTCATGTTCAGACGAGGGTGAACTCAATTGTATGCAATAAAAGTTCTTATATATACACTTTAATACGTCGTATACAGAGTACTGCTTATGTATGTCTATATGTATAGAAAAAACGCGATTGTACGTGCAATTCGCATATTGTCCAAATTTTATCATGCAGTTCATTTTATTTTTTATTAATAATAATGTGAAACGTACAAGAACTCTATATGAAATATTCCCCTTTTTTGTTTTTTTTGCACCATAGTTATTTATAATATGTTATATGAAGTGAAAATGCAAATTAAAATTTACGACAAAAATTTTAAACAAGATTAGGAAAAGGAAATTAAAAATTACGAATTAAAAAATTTTAATGTGGAGTTTGGTGTACATGGACGCCTTAATAATAAGCGAAAGTTGGTTGATTCAAATGATTGAATTTGATATTTTGTAGCACAATAAAACCAACTCGTTAACTTCGCAAATTAGTCCATTAACGATATTGAGTTGTGAAAACTTTAGGCGTTTTCACGAGGCGGCTATTTAACAAAACTATAGCACGATTTTGCATCAATAGCAGCTGTAGGGGTAAAAAACCCTGATAATTCATAAGTGGTTAATAAATTCTATGAAACGCCAAATCAGGCTACAACTCCGAACAACATTACAATCAATTGTACATTACTTTTCGTTTACATTCGGTAAAACCGTTAATAATAAATTTTTATTCCATTTATTTTTCCATCTGATTGCAAATGAAAAAATATTGCCAATGTTCAGATTATAGTTTGCAAAAATACCATGTCGAAAAAAAAAATCAAGTAAAAAGATGAATCTACAAGTTGGATGGAATAAAAGAAAATCTTTTCATATTTTTTTATTACACGCTGACATAAAATTCATTTGACATGAACAAACACGCGCTTTTTTTTTTAATACTTACTTCAATATTTTTTTTTTGTTCTTCATTGCATGTGTTTATTCGCATATTGGTTCATGCAAATAATAAAAGATTGATAGTATGAAGTAAGTAGGTAATATTATCATTCGAAAAGTATAAGATAAAATGAGAGAAAAGCAATACATAACTATATTAAATCAAACACAATGTGTAAATTACAACAGTCATGCCACAAAAATTGATTAGTACTTCGTATATCATACCAAAAAAACAAAATCCATGAAAATCAGTTTAAGAAAATATTGACCGAAGATAAGATTGAAATACTAACATTTGAAAGTCGATAATATGGAGTTTGGTGTGAAAACAATACCTTCCACATTGTATGCAGTGCGGTCGGTGAAAATCCCATTATGTATGTACGTACTTACATGTTTATAATCAAAAGTAAATGCGGTGGGAAAGCTAAAAATGAAAATGCAAACCAAATACAAAGTTAACTGTTGTTAACAGTTACTTATTACTGTCACTTTTTGTCAATAACTAAATGAAGATTAATGCTAAGTCCAATGGTGCATAATATTATGTGTATATGTACATAAATTTCTCCTTTTGAGGTTAAATGAAATATTAAAACACGTACATAAGTACCATACATGCATATTAAAATTATTCAATTTTATGTCAATTTCTTAATGTATGTATGTATGTATAAGTACTTTTTACTTAATATGCTCGTATATCAAACAGAATTTAAAAACCTTTTCCATTTATGTAGGTATATGCTTGCATATAACTGATATGTAATATACAATGAATAAATTATTTTTATATTTGAAGGTCATGAACCGCTTAATAATGTAGTTTTTAAAACACAATAATTTTCCCATGATTAAATTTTTGAGAATATTATAAAGTGTTATTTATTACTCAATTTAATATATAAGTAAAGATTTAAAGTGAATCTTGCGCTTATTAATTTTACAATTTATTATAAATTGAATTTTTCATACTAAAACTTACTTGAATTTTGTATTTAAATTTGTAGGAATGGAACTGCTTTTGTATTAAACTTACAAAATTTTTGTTTTTAAAAATTTGATTGCAGAAGGAATGGAGTTTTTATCAATTGGAAGTAATATGTATGTATCCTGTTTTACATTAATTACACATAATAGTTATGCTTTATTCAATTTTTTTGATACAAAATCTTGATTTATTCGACACACAAACCAGTTAGCTGATATTTAGGACCGTAATATAAAAAAGAAGTACGCTTAACTGAAATTACTAATTTCGAGAACGCAAACACCACAAATCCAACAATAATCGAATTATTTGGAAAATAGAAAAATTCACTTTTATGCCACTATTTATTACCACCCATGTTTGCATAACGATTCACAAGCAGTTATAATTAGTTTTCGCGGGCAATACAAGTGGCATAAATCTCTAATTGTTGTTATGTGTGATATGATCCACTCCACTATTCAATTTCAATTACATAAAGTAGTTTTTTTCGGTAACACAATAATTTGGGTTTTTTAAATTTTTAACCCTTAATATTTTATTTTTTCAATATTTTAAATTATTATTAATTTTTTTATAAAATATAAAAAAAAATGAGTGATTTTATTTATTAACTTACCAATATTTTAAAAAACAATAAAAATCCTTTGATTTTGTTGATTTTGTTTTCTCTGCCAGTAAATTTAACACCATCAAAGTAAACTGAAAAACACAATTACGTCAAAAAGCAAACCCATAAACACTCTGGTTCCATTTTAATCCATTTATAATTTACTGAAAAATATTATAAAAAAAAAAATATTATTTAATTTGAATATAATATTTATATTTAAACAAACATAATTTTTTTTTTATAATTAATTTAAATAAATTAAATTTTATATAATTAAATTAATCTTTTATTTTGCGTAATAATGACCGATAATGTAAATTGGCTTAAAATTTATGTAATAAAAATTATTGATTTATTTGTATATAATAGTAAAAACGAAAAAACACAATAAAAAACGCCAAAGAACCGCAAATAGTGATGAAAAAATTTAAAATTATAAAACAAAAAAATGAAATTTTTTCAATTTAAACAAAAAATGCCCAGGTTATTAATTGATATTTTTGGTCCAATTACAATATTACATAAGTTCTTTTATTTTATATAAAAGTAAATAATGTGAGTACACAAAAATAAAATTTATTTATTTATGAAATTCATAATTTCGACCAAAATTTAAATTAACTAAAAATTAAAAAACAAATGTTTTAGAGGTTTTTCTTTATCCTTTTATTTTTCTCTTTTTATATTTTTTTGGAAAATTTTTTTATTTTATAAATAAAACAAAAGATAATTAATTATTTAGAATTTTAATAATGTTATGTAATTATGTCATATACAGGTACTCGTGCAGAAATGTGAAGTTAATAAAGGACATGTTTTTTTAATTCAATAATATTGACGATATAAAGGACGGGAAAAAATATTATTTTACAACTTGAAAGAATTACGTTTTTTGGTAAAAATAAAATGCTCATGTGCTACTCTCCCACATACATATACTCGTTATTTAGTGGAAGAAAACATCTTGAAGCATAATGATGAAATATTATAATTTGGAATGAATATAACATTTTCGAAAATAAATGAATCTCTCCCTAACCATAAAAAAATTTATAAATTGGAGAACTAAAAGAACGACGGACTTGTTTTGAAATGGCTGGCGGACTTGCGCAATGATAAGGGTCCTGCAGCCGAAGAGGCTGCTGCTGACATTGAGATGAGGGATATCAGGATAGCAGTTGGCATTTTGACGGTACACAGTTTATTGGGAAAGATGGCTAATAGGCTTGACATTTTCTCATCGGATATCTGCCGAAAATTGCAAGGCATCAGGGTGGTGGAGGATGTACGTCACGTGCTCTGCGAGTGCCCCGCATTAATGCATAGCAGGAAACGCTTTTTGGGAGGATATTGGTTCGGTGGATTGAAGAAGCTTTCGGAGTCGCCTATGGGTAAAATTTTTCAAGTGACTTCAATGGATTTATTGTGAAGAGGTATGTTGTGGAGGGATGTCGATGTGTCTTCCACTGGATTTCACCTCCCTTCTCTTAATAGTTAACAAATCAACTCCCTAACGATGAAAGCTCTAAGGCTTTTTTTTTTTAATTTTATTGGTAAAAAATACTTTAACCTTAATTTACCTAAAATTTTGCTTTTATCTTTTGTCACTGATTTTTCACTGAGTTTCAAAATTTTTCTTCCCAAAAGGTGTAGTTTTCCGTTTTCTAAAACGTGGACCTTTCTCTATATTTTTCGTTAAAACTCGGGAAATTCAATGAGTAAAGCCAATCCTATACTTAAAAATATTTCCTTTTCATCGCACGTCCAGCGAAAACTGGAGATCAAATTTTTATATTCATAATTATTATTCTGCTGGTTTAATAAAAGAGATTCAGTAGAATTTTTTCGTATACACTAATATAAATAACTTCTAATAAGTACAATTTAATTTCATCATTATTATTTGAAAATAAATTAATAAGATTTGACATAAATAATAACAAGATACAGCATTAAAATATTATTCCCCGTTAAGTATTTCGCGTAAAATTTGTAAAAAACTGTGGGAATTAAATTGATTCAATTTAAAATTTTCACGCTACACCACATTTAATATTACATGTAATGTCAAAAAATCAATTATGCGTATTGTAAAAGTTCAATTATGCAATATGCATTTAAAACTTAAAATACATTGTTGCATTACATTGCATTAGCCTATTACAAAAAAAAAAATAATGTAAAGTTTAACCAGGAAATGAAAACGGTGTCTTTTAAAAGCATTTCTAAAAATTACTTACAATGTTGTAAAAGTAATATGCTTGTATTTTTTTCATATTAATTTCATTTTGGTCATAAGTCCGTCCATCAGCTTTTTTGAATATTTCTGCAATTTTTAAGGTAATCGGCGACTAAATTTTTGAAGGCGAATTGCTTTGGCTTTAATTAAAATACTTTAGGTTAATAAAATTTTATTAGCCTTTTTTTGTTATTCTCTTCTTCATTGGGAAATCAAGAAGATTTTCCATATTTTATGTAAATGAGTATGGCTTCAATTTTGGAATACTCGTAGCTCTTTAGAATTTATCCAATTTTGAAATTTTGTGTTTTTGAGTCACTTAATTTTGATTAAACAATTTTAGAAATAGTCGTGCTCGTTTCAAAACCACAATTTGTTTATTCACTTGTGATTTCTACTATTTAAGAATACAAATTAGTAGAATAGTTTCAACCATCACTAACCGGCAACTATTTTGAATATTGCTTTTCATTAAATCATACAACCGTAAAGTTGTGTAACTGCCCCTCTATCTCTCTCCGTCTCTCTCCCTCTGCATAACATAATACATGTTACAATGAAAATAGTTTCATATTTGCATATTTATAATACAATTTATCTGTGTATGTGTTTAGGAAAATGAAAATTCATTTGAGTGTAAAAGTAGTTGACATTTGACAGGTAAATTATTGAAAAAAAATGTTATTTTTTTCTTCATTTTTGTTTTTAAAATTTTCCGCTTTTATAATATTCAGTTAAGAATTTTAAATTTTTTTGTATGTCAGATTGTTGTAAATTATATACATTGTTCACATTACATTTCACTCTTCAACACCAATCTAACAAATAAGTGTACCTTCTTTACGTGTTAGAATATTATTGTGTAAGCCCGGATATCAATATTCCTTTTGATATTTTTTTTTTTCGTATTTAAAAATTTTATTGTGTCCCTTGCAATAATAAGAATAAGCCTTTTACAAAATGGTAATAAAGAATTATAAATTTAGACGCAAACGTTTCAAAAGACAAAAAAAAAATGATAAAAATTGAATGAAAAAGAAATTAAAATTATTTCTTAGATGTTGTCTTGTCCGTCTTTACCAATTACGCAGGGAAAAAATATAAACAAAAGCAAAAAGTATCATATGAGACAAGGATAACAGAATCAAGAAAATGAGAACGTAAATATCATTTATAGTGACATGCGTTTCCACATACAAAAATACAAAAATAAAGAACAAAGAAAAGAAAAAGGAAAAATTGTTGTGTTCCCTTATCATGCTATAGTGCGTTGCTGACGTTATTTTATAAGATTAAAATCAATGGTGTGAAAAAATGAATTTTTGTGGTTACTACGTTAAGAAAATGCCTGATCAACCTTTTTTTTTTCATTTTGTTTGTTCTAGGTTGGATAAGGAATATTTCAAATTCTCTGACGTATTTTATGAATTAAGAGTTTAAAGTAGATTTTATAATCTCTGGTTTACAATTGAAAATTTAAAATAAATTATAAGAAGCTGAAACAATTAAAAAATAATATTAATCTACTCACTGTCTAAGTATGTCCAATAGATTACTCTATTGTATATTAAGGTAGGTTGCTTAGCAAGTGTAATTTAATGAAATAATTAAAATTGTCAGATCTAAAACTTTATTTCGATTAATTATACGTTTTAAGGTACCGCATTAGTCATCTAAGTAAATTTCCTCCTAAAATACGCGAAATAAACCACAAGGCTAGGTTAATCAAACAAAGTTTTTCCTCATTTCAAATATAAATTATTACCTTAAGAGTCACTTAACACCTTCTAATGTTAATTAGTTTGTTAATTTTTGCTCTAAATTGAACATATTCTGTAATTCTTTATTTGAACTCGAATAAAAGTAATGGATCTCTATGTAACGACCTCTTCACAAAACGAAAATTTCTATTTATTGAAAAATTTGTTGGGCAACAGCATATGTTTTTCGTTTTAATGATTTTTTATACTACGAATAACACAATACTCTCTTGCGATTGTAACTGAATGTTTGTTTACATTTCTGTCTTTCTAATTTAACTAAGACGTTTCGTGTTTTGAATTATTAAAAAAGACAAATTTTATTCAGAAAGAAGATGAATACTGAAATCTCATAACTAACATTTTTAGGTAACTTCCTCGATATATTACAATTCTTGGTGGCAATTATTGTAGTGTCATGAGTTATTTTCAATTGAATTGGAAAAAACTTCTCCAAATGTGCCAAGCTAAGAAAAATATAAGAGTTATAAATATAAGACTAACAGCTATTCTTTTCTTTTATCTTCTTTTCTTATTATTTTTCTGCTCACACTTACATCGTGTGTCGATTAATATATGTTTAAAAACCCTGGACACGTAAACATTAATATGAAGATTATTTTTTTATCAATAAAACAATCATTATCATTCGATGATATTTTAACTAACAATTTACCTTATGTTATGTGGGAAAAAAAAACAAAAAAATAAAAAATGAATTTTCCTTTTATTTTTTTTTTTATTTTCTTTAACTTTTACAGCTGCATATTTTTGAGTCTTGTGTAACATGACACGACGAGCATTAAGATTAAAAAACAAATTTTATTTTTTTTTTCCTTTCTTTCTTTACTTAAAAAAAAAAAAAAAAAACGAAATAAACAAAAAAATAATAAAATGAAAATGTAAGAACCTGCAAATTTAACCGCAAAATTCGATTATGTTTAGCACCATCAGCTTACGAGATCAAATCAAATAAAATCTCTTTGGTCATATGGTTGGATAAATACAAATATGTAAGCGTATCCTCATACTTTAAATACCAACATATGTACATACTTGTATACGTTTCTCTTATAGTTTCCCTAAGAAAAAAAAAACAATAACAATAGGAACGAAAAAAATAGTGTTTAATGTTACAAAAGAGCAGAAAAAAAAACAAAAGAAAAAACCGCATAAACTAAATTAAAACGAACGGAATTTTTTTATTAATTATTATTTTTTTTTTTTTGTTGTTTTCCCCCGATTTCATTTTAAATAATCCAAAAAATGGGTCCGTCCAGCCAAGAGTCTCATTTAAACCAAAAACCAAAAAAAAAGTGATAGATGAAGAAGATGAAAATGCGCAAGGAGATCTCAACCACACAGAGAAAACCGCACATCACAAAAAGTAAAAAAAGGAAAAACAAAAAATTTTTTTAGAAGAAAAAGCAACAACAAAGAAGAAATTAAACTAAAGCACAAGGCGATTTTTTGCAAAAAAAAAAAAAAAATTAAAAATGCTGGCTGAATGCTTGCCTAATGGATGGTAAAAAGGCGAAAATCTTAATTGATTATTTATGTTAAAAAATCGTAACTTTTAAAGAATTTTAATATTTTTTTTTCTCTTTTTTAATTTTATGGTTTTGTTCTTTTGTTTTTTGTTATTTTAATTTTTGAAGCTTAGTTATGCTCGCTTTTCTTTTCAATTTTTAAACATTTAATTTTTTGGAAGTTTAAGTATAATAATGTCCACATACATACATATGTACATTTTTTTTTTTATAAACACGTACCTACTTAATATGTATGTAGGTATGTATATTACAAGTATGCAAAAATCCTTTAACCAAAAAAACCCATTAACATATAGGAATTTTGTTACGGTCCAGAATGTAAGCTAAAAATATCAAAGAAAAAAAAGAGGAAAAGTTGAAAAAATAATGGTCGGTTAATTTTTACACAGGCATTGGAAAATTCAACGGAGAAAAGACATGCAAACGTAATAGGGAAGAAGAAGAAAAACAAAACTAAGAAAAAGAAGACAAAAAATTACTACAAAGAGTTAAAAATAAAATTATTTTTTTTTTTTCTTTTATTCATTTAAAATTTAACAAAAATATTCAATTAAATTTACTGTATACGCGCATAATAAACATATTTGTAAAATCAAATATTCAATAGTCTCAAGAAAAACTATACTAAAAACCAAAGAGTGTTAAAAATGTTAAGTTACAGTGTGCTTAGCCTACTCTTTTGCAATAATTACCACTCTTTTAGAGTGTTTAACGATTTTTTATACTACGAATACTCTCTTGCGAACAGAACTTAAGTAAGTTCGAGTTTTCGTTATTGAAATTCTAAATTTTAGAAGAAATCAAGGGTTGTGCTACTATTATCCCCCGCATTTCATGTTTTGAGAGAGATATTGCTATGACAAGTTTGCGAGATATTACACTACCTTATGGTAAGGAAACGTAAACTAAATATCTGTCGTAAACTAACTAACACCTTTTGAGATTTCGGTCTGTCTTATGGTTAAATTTTCCGTAATTATTGCATAAAATTTATTTTTTTTTTGGACATTAATTTTTCCCTTTTTAGATATTAATTTGGATATTATCTAAATCCAAAACCCTTGAATGCTTTTATTTAAATACAAAATTCGACAATTGTATAATAAAAATATTGGAAATTATGGAAAAATTAAAATTAATTAAATTTTTGATCAAAACTTTTTTAATTTTCGCAATTTTTACTAAAATTAATTTTTTTTTGCTTTCCCTTCGGAAAATTTGTTATATAACCTTACAACTCGAACCCGAATTTGACCCGAACCTAAGAAATATTTATGATTTCACTCAAATTAAGTAGTGATAATGTCAAACATAATTATAATTAACCTTTTGTTATATAATATATATATACATACATATATTTCGAAATTTTACACAAGTTATATTTACGGAAGTTCCTGTCCGATTATAAGAAAATTCGAGGAGAGTTTGATGACTTCAATATTTTTGTTCTGTCAAAAAATATGTGTCTATTCTCGTTTTTAAAAATCTTTCTTTTCTCGTCTGTTCACAAAACGCTCGCTCTGAATCAGTCTCTCTGAATACTGTTAAGATCTTAAGATTATACTTTAGATTGGAACTTCAATTAATACCAATTATGCCATATCGTTAAGTAAAAGCATTATTTAGCAAGATTTTTCTCAGGACTATTGAAATAATAAAAAATAAAAAATCAAAAGAATCTACATGTTTGTAGGTACTTAAATTGTTTTTAATGGGTGATTCGCTTTGCTAATTATAATTTGACAAGAAAACAAAAACGTTTAAGTTTATGTTTTTGTTCACATGTGAAGATTATGAGAAGAAAAAAAAATTA